ATTTTATTGTCCAGTGACACGGATGGATATGAAATTGATGATATTCTAATTCTACTTTTATTTTTGCAAGATGTTGGGCGATTTGCTTATTAGCTCTTTTTCATTTTTATGTTTATGGAATAACAGTGATAATACCAGTTTACTTGATGATTAATGTTTTCAAAACACCTTGTACCTGAAATTGTACCATATTCTGTATTAAAATATGACATTTCCACTGAAAACACATCTTAGCTTCTGACTAATGAAAGTTCTTGAATGAATAAGGGCATATTGGCAATCTAGATCATCACTGGCTTGGTTATAGCGATGATATGAAACATTTAACTTAATGGAAGAGATTAAAAAATGATAGAAAATATATAGTCTTTTGAAAGCTGCAAGTTCAAACATATACCAAACTGTGAAAACACTTTAATAGTGCTTTTTGCATTATGAAAAATCTGTCAGGGGCATACAAATCCATAGGTAGAGTGTTTTGAACAGAGTATAAAAATACAAATTTCTTACTTAGGATGTTAGCACTGAATGTCAAAATGTCATGTTGCTAGCTCTGGTGTTAACTTTGAAGATGACAGGTAACCATCCATACAACATTCATTTTTCAAATGGTCATAAAAAAAATACTGTCACTGCCAAAAGCACAGCTAAAATACCAGTTTTCCATTTATTGAAGTGCACAAGGTCTAGTACAGTGCTTTCTTCAAAGGCAGAACATTAAAGAAAGGAGATTAAGTCAGGCCTGAATGAAACAGGAGTTAGAGGGCTGACTCCAATGTGGGTGACCACAGATGTAATGTCTGAGGCAATATAAGAGTATCAGGTGGGATCTGAGCTAGCAACATTATCTATGGGATATGATCTGATGGGTGGAAGCACTCTAGTAGTAGTACTAGAAAGTGGCCACATTAATGTCATGGAAATTCCTCTATCTGTGTTCAAACTGGACACCAGTCAAAGGCAGACATATAGTTACAGGGACACTCTGAGAGAAACTGTACGTTAGGACTTGGCAGGCTGAAACACATATTAGGCTTTGTTAGCAAGGAGCTGGAATGTAAATCTGAACCCAAAATAAGCTAGTAATCATAAAGGAAAAGATAAAATGTGGCTGTTCTAGCTGTGTTAACATAAATGTCTACGGGTTCATACTAAGAGCATTATATTTCTATTCAAAACTCTTCTCAGCTAGAAATGGTAATATCAATAGTCTGCTAGACTAATGTGATTCCCAAATTTTGTAGCACACATAGTTACATTATCAAAGTGAAGGAATTCTATAACTTTACTTGGCCAGGCCATAAAGGAAGGAAGTGATTACAAAAACCATCCTGTTCACTAAGCTCCTTTTATAGATATTTAAAAGTTTTTATTTAAGTATATAATTATTGAAAAATAAAATTTCTCTGGGACTACCTATATTTCAGAACTGTGATGGTGATTTTCTCTTTGCCCTTCTAGTTTTATTTTCAAAATCCTCCTTCAAAATCCTCTCTGTGGCCCAGGAGGCTGACCTCTAGGGACTGGTTCAATGGACATCCTTGCCCTCTGATGTCTGGATAAAATAGTCCAATGGGAAGCTCCTGCAATGGGGTAGAAGACAGAAGGGAAATAAAATTGGGTATTCATTTCCTATGTTAGCTAGTCTTCAAAGGTATCCCCCAACGATTCCTCCCTTCCTTGTTAATACATGCCACGCTTCACATCAAGGGGTGGAGCTTACTTCTGCTTCTCTTGATTGTGGGATGGCCTTTGATTAGCTTCGCCAAATAGAATGTAGCAGAAGGCCATTCTGGGATTTCCAAGCCCAGGCCAAAGAGAACTGGAAGCATCTACTTGCTGCCTCTTGGAAATCAGCCTCTATGCAGTGAGAAGCCCAGGTAGAAGGAAGAATCACAAATAAGAAAGCAGAGGCACTCACTACATCAAGTACTAATCAGCAGCCACGTGAGTGAGGTTCATGGTAGCCAGCGAGTCTCCAATATGACACCCAATAAAGGTAGTTTTCTGTTATTCCTATCTTTGTGAAGTCCCCTCCCATACAGTACTAGTGCTGGTTAGTATGACCAACTGAATACCACAGAAGTGATGATAAGTCCCTTCAAAGATTATGAATTGCACTGTAGTTTTCATCTTGATGGCGCTTTCTCAGGTCACTCATTCAGGAGGCCAGCTGCCGTTTCATGAGGACAATCAAGTGGCCTAAGGAGAGGCCTTTGTGGTAAGGAACTGAGGCCTGCCTAAAACACACGAAGCAGATTTACTAGACTTCAGATGACTTCAATTTAGTAGACAGCTTGACTGCAATCTCAGGAGACACCCTGAGCCAAAACCAATCAGTTAAGCTGCTCCCAGATTCTTAATCTACAAAAGCTGTGAGGTAATAAATTTTTATTGTTTTAACCTACTAAGTTTTGAAATAATATTTTACACAGCAATAAATAACAAACGCAGCCATCTTAGCCATTTAAATTCAGCCCTGACTGGTTTGGCTCAGTGGATAGAGCGTCGGCCTGTGGACTGAGGGGTCCCGGGTTCGATTCCAGTCAAGGGCATGTACCTTGGTTGTGGGCACATCCCCACTAGGGGGTGTGCAGGAGGCAGCTGATCGATGTTTCTCTCTCATCGATGTTTCTAATTCTCTATCCCTCTCCCTTCCTCTCTGTAAATTCAATTGAGCCACCAGATGATTATAGCCCCAGCTGACATGAAGAGCAGAAGAAGGCCTCTAACCCAAATTAGCACATAAAATCACTAAAGGTAATAAAATAATTGTCATTTTAAAACTTTAAATTTTGTAATGGCTTGTTTTGCAGCAATAGATAACCAAAACAGAAATGTGTTACCCAAAAGTGAGGTGCTACTGTAACAAAACCCTAAAACATGTAGCCTTGGCTTTGGAACCAGGCAGTGGGTGCAGGCCACAAGGGCCTCAAAGAGACAGTCTATGGAGGCTGGTAAGACAGTGAGAAAATTGTTGAGCCTGGAGAAGAGGTGAGTTTTTGTCCAATTATGTACAGGGAGAATGTTTGGAAAATGCAGTAACTTGTGGCAATATAAAAGATAATATATGAACTTGTGTGTTTGGCTAAGGAAGTTTCTAGGCAGAATGTTTATGTGTCAACTGGTTTATTTCAGTGTACATGATCATAGTAGGGTGAAATGAACTAAAGAAGGAACTATTCAATTTGGAAGCAGTATCTAGAGTACAGGTCATCAAACATTTTCTATATTAAGCCAGATAATAAATATTTTACTAATTACAGGCTCTATGGTGTCTATAGCAACTCTGCAGTTGTAGTGCAAAAGCAGGCATAGAAAATATATACCAGGTGTACTGGTTAATAATGATGGATTTTGTAATCAAAGAAAACATGATAATTTCAAGAGAAACATCAAAAGTGCTTTATTCAAAGTAATGTGCATCACTAGCTACACATTTCCCCATCTTTCAGGTAATTTGTGGATACCGTCCCAATAGAACTTTTCTTGTTTTGAGGCAAACCATTCAGAGACCCAATTTTCCACTTCTTCGTACGTTTTGAAGTGCTGCTCAGAAAGTGCATGTGCTATCGATCGGAACAAGTGGTAATCTGAAGGAGCAAGGTCTGGTGAATACAGCAGGTGGATTAATACTTCCCAGGCAAGATCTTTTAATGTGTCTTTAACTGGTTTTGAAGGTGTGTGATGGTGCGTTATCATGAAGCAAAATTACTTTACCGTGTCTTCTGGCCCATACTGGTCGTTTCACGATCAAAGTGTGGTTCAAATTGATTATCTGTTGTTGGCAGGGAACAGTATTAACGGTTTCACCTGGTTTTAGAAGCTCATAATACACCACACCTTCCTGATCCCACCAAACGTAAAGCATTGTCTTCTTTCTGAAGTGATTTGGCCTTGTGTCCGATGTTGATGGTTGACCTGGATCAACCCATGATTTTGTGCATTTGGGATTCTCAAAATAAATCCACTTTTCATCCCCAGTCACAATTCAATGCAAAAAAGACTTTCTTTGGTGCCGTTGAAGCAACATTTTACTGATGACTTTT